CTGGCCGACCATGCCCCTGATCGGCCCACAGCCTCTCATGCCGGTCAGCCATGCCCCCAATGGGCCCCACCAGCCTAATTGGCCTTCAGCTCTTTCCCCTGGCTGGCCACACCCATGATGGCTTCCCACCATTGTGATCAGCCTTCAGCCCCTCCCCCTGGCCATCCCCACCCCTGATCTCTCCTCCATCCCAACAGAGGATAGGGCTTGCTGGCCAATCTACTGCAGCCCCTCCCCCCACCTAGCCCCACCCCAGATCAGCCCCCCAATCCCAATCAGGGGCAGGGCCAGTCATCCAACAACCCATGGCCCCTCCCCCAGGCCCCGATCACCCCCTATTCAGGGGTGGGGCCGGCTGGCCCACTGCCCACAGCCCCTCCCCATGGCCATCCCCATTCCAATTAGGGGGGCAATTAGGGATTGGCCTCACCAGTCAATAACCCATGGCCCCTTCCCCCAGCTGCCCTGGCTTTGATCTCAGGCTCTGATTCAGGCGGGCCACAGGCCAACCTCTCGCCATCTCCTCCTCCCAACAGGCCCAGCGCCGATCCGTCCTGATTGGTGTCGGGCCCCATGGAACCCACCCATACACGAACACATGCACTGGGCCTCTAGTTAATGGATAAACCCTGTCAATATCTTATTTTGTAATCTTGCTCAGAACTGACCCCACACTTTTATGGATCATCACACTCATACACTCTATCTTTCACATATATTTCCTCAGATTTAGCAAAACGAAATGTATTCTGTGAGAAGCCACATCCCACATGGCTTAGGGTTCAGGATCTAGAGAAGGACTGCATGAAAATGATGAGACTAGACAACAAATATGAATTTGGAAATGGGGGGCCAGGCGGAGAGTCTTTCTGAAGAAGGAAGGCTTTGCTGGTAACCAGGCCCTGCCACCCTTTTATTCAATTTTAGATACATATCTTGCCCTTAGGCAGGCAGGCAATTCCGGTAGCAGACCGACTATCTTAAAGGTCAGTAAGTACTAGTAAAGATTTACTTTGAGACTATTTGTTTCAGTAAATTGCTTGAACCACCACTGTCTCAACTAAACAGTCAGTGCATAGCTTTGGCCCTTGCAGGAGCTCAAGGTCTACCAGCATTCTGGGTTCTTTGTTTACACTTTCCTGATAGCATAGACAATGGGTAGTTTCCAACATCTCCCCCTTTTCATTTACTTAATAAATCTTCATTCCACATCTTAAGGCTCTTAAGTCTTTCTTAAGACTCTTCATTCCACATCTGCAGACTAGAAATAAACATATAAGAACAAGAATGAGACAGGCAATAGTGGTTATGCTAAGAGGCAAATGTAAGGAGATCCAGTGGAATGGATTAAATTCTTTCATGTCCTTTTTAAATTGTTGCCAGGCATCTAAAGAATTAGTTTGTAAGTTTGCCTGTGATAATTGTACAATATGCTGTTGTAATTCTAAAATATCAAAGGTTGTGTTACCTTTAACCCAAGCACCAAGAAGGTGATTTTTTATTGATTCCCAAGGGTATAAGGTACTATTATAGGGAACGGGGGTAACACAATCTGGGAAAAATTATAATGACACTGCAAGGATATTCTTTGCTCTAAGCTGTGGATTTTATCACCCATCCACACGACTGTAGACTTTAGTGCCAATAATTCTATCTCAAACTGCCTGTCAATTCTTTTTTAACTTGTTGTACACACTGAAAAGTTTGAATAGTTTGTTCCCTGGATAAAGCAGCAATGCCCACAGAAGAAAGTAACATTATGAAGGCAAAGATTCCTGAAATTAACATTCCAATAAATCTTTTTTGTCGTTTTAAGATTTTTACCAGATCATGTGACAGTCGGTAGGTTTGATGAGATTCCCAAGGTTCGCTTAGGTTAGTAGGAACCCGAGCGAAAGCAGGCTGTTTTAAAAGCCTGAGGGAATCTTTTTGGAATGTAGAATTAATACAAAGTGATAATGTGCAGCCTGTGCATGGCACTTTGCTTGTAGCATTAAGGTGTATCTGGATGGGGCCTGAGAGAAGTACAAACAGATCAAATCCACAGGCAGTGGCAAATACTGTCTTATTGGGAGTTCCCCATAAGGTACAAATGGAATGATCTGAGCTATAGTTAAAACTATACCATTTAATAGGTGCAAGTGCAGCAGCTAATTTCTATTGCGTATTTTGTAGGGGCCAATTGTCATGTTGTAATTGAGATCCAACAAATCCTCCTCCATGCCATGAGGTGGAGTGATTAGCTTCAACATATAGATTAGGATGTGGTCCCTTCCATTTTATGGTGCTACTGTTATTACACACAGAACCGCAGAACCGTAGGGGCTCAATTGTATAAAGGAAAAACTGTTATTAAGTTTGCTGCTGGTGGAGTAGTCACTATAACAGTCTTGCCAATTAATTTCTTCCTCAGTGTGGTGCCATGCATAAGACGTTTTACATAATGGCTTAATAGGGGGGTGGGGGGGTCGTGTCTTAGTAAAGTTACATTTTCTGTACCTCTCCCTGGAGCAAGTAGTTATAATAGATGTATTTGGGCTTTTGCGTCCCCCTCCTTTGGTGTCCACCCTAGCCAGAAGCCTCTCTTTAATTCTACATACAAAGGAGCAGTGGTTTGATTCTGGGTCATACAAAAGGGAAGCTGGGTGGCGAGACCCGTGTAATTATACTTTGCTCATTTACTTCCCTGTCCCACACCTGGTCCTCCTGGATGACCAAGGTGTTTGGTGTTATTGGTGACTACATTAGGCGGGGGATCAGCCTATGTAAGGGGTCTTACCCATGGTGGGTGAGGAACATAAGTCCAAAATACTTGCCCATTTGCCCCTGGTAGTATTACCACACAGCTGATGACTGCTAACATGGCAAGAAAGACGTTCTCAGGCGTTCACGGGTTCTGGTATCCTCACAAATTCGCGCAGCTTCCTGGACCATCTTCTTCACCATCCCCCGGGTGACCTCCAGGCTGTTTGTTGTCTGCCTTGTCCTCCTCCCACTCCTTATCTTCAGTGGGTTGTTTGGGGCTGCTGCTATCTGCAGCTGGGGTAGCTGATTATCTGCAGCTGCAAGGTGTGGATCCAGGTGCAAGGGCCTCATTAATCTGGCCAGTTCCTCCCTCAGATCCATGTTGAAATTTAATATTTCTTGTGGGAATCCATATGGGCTTGGAGACGTTTTCTGGAAAGATACAAGCGTATCCTCAACCAAATGTTGACAGGGGGTCGGGGCCCTTCCATAAACCACACTCGGGATGTTTCCATTTAACCAGACCGTTTTCCTTTGGCTTATTCTGACACCAGTGTATTTCCAAGGGTGTCTTGCCATCGGCATTACAAGTGAAAAAATTTAAAGTAATTAAAGCTTGGTGTAGTCTACTTACAGGTGATTTCTCCAAAATCCCCCCTTTTTTGTTTTAAATAATATTAAGAGGCTTTTGGAAAACCTGCAATGTGCTGAATTTTCTACTTTTTACAAAATTGCTGGAAATGACAGCTTATGTCACTGAGTCATTTTAATTGAGTAGCAAATTTGTTATTTCTTCCATAAAGATTTTTAGATAAGGTCTTAACCAATTAACGTCCTTTGATAACTTCTAAAAAGTCTTTTAAAGTTTTAAGACATAAGACTATACTTTCAGGGATCATTTCTATAGTTCATTATAAAGTTTTTTAAGACAATTCTCCTTATATTTCTACTTCTTAAGGTCTAATATATTGACTTTTAATTATAGTTCCTAAATATCCCTTTATTTCCTCCCAGAGTGACCTTTAAGCTACATTTAGGGGGTTTCTTTTAAAAACTCTTTCTTTCTTTTAAACCAAGCAACAAACTTGGTTCCTTCCTGAATGCCAGCCAACACAGCCATGCATACGTTCCAAGTAAAACTAACTCTTTTTATTTATGGTGTCTCATTAATGGTGAGATTTAATGCTTGAACAATAATTTTTAGTTTACTTTGTAAATAGTAACAGAAGAGATTTAAAAATTTCTCTTTTTTATTAAGCTTAAAATTTACATTTAACCAGCATTCTTTTTGGATAGTGCTCATTTGCATATATAACTTGATAAGGGTAGTGATCTAGTCTTTGTTTAAACTTCCCTGAAATTGTATGACCCTTTTACAACTTTTGTAAATAGTTAACTTTAGAATTTCTTTCTTTCTTTCAAAATTCTTTTTTTCTCTACTCATCATATATATAACCTTTATAAATTTTATACTTTCAAATTAGCCTTCAAACCTTTTTATGTCTTTTAAAAATGCATTTTTACTCTAATATTCTTTCTTTCTATTATTAATCTTGTAAATATCTTCAGTTATCTGTACAGAACTTTTTCCTCCTTTTCCTTTAAAATATATGTCTTTCCTTCTATTATTAAAACTATACAATATTTAAACCTTAATTCTCCAATGATAATTAAAAGTAAACAGCCAGCATTTTTTAGATTGACATTTATCAACATAAATTTTGTAATTATTCTAAAAGATATTTATTAAATTTAAACCAGTTTTTATATTAAAAATTTGGTTCAAATCATAGAATTAATCCTCCTTTCTTAATTAGGCCAATAAAGTATTACATCCTAAGTTGAAATTTTACCATACATAGTATACATGAGGACTACAATATATTTTGAACTACTACTTTCTTCAGAGTAAATATAAGAATTATTTTTCTCAAAAATGAATTTCTAAATTTTATGCATTTTATATAATTTCTTCTAACTTAATTTGAACTTTAAACTTTTAGAAGCCTCAAATTTTAGGAGGCAAGTTAAATACTTAGCATTTCTCAAATTAGTAATATTTTTACATTTTTAAGGATATATTTTAAATAAAATACAAGACATATTTAATTAATATATTCAAATTTATCCTCTAGATTTTTTATATGAGGTAAAGTCAGGTTAATATTCAGTATTTTTGTCATTTTAAAATACCTAGATATTTAATAATTTTATTATCTAATTCAGCAATGTCCTAAAGCGTTAAGTTACCAAAGATTTTCGAAAAACTATGTCTGAGGCTGGCTAAAAAGGCAGGGGGAGGAGAGAGAGCAGGCCCACTTGAATTTTAAAACTACTATATTTTTCCGTAGAGATAACATTTTCAGGTTGTTGCTGCCACCAAGTTCTCTGCTTTTACAGGGAGAAAAGTGATTGGATTTTTATCATGAATATGTTTATAATTATTACTGAGAAGCTTTACCACAAATTCTTCATTTAGTCATATCTATTTGTTTATGTTTTAACAATTTTGAGATTTTAAAGCTAATTACCATCCAAGGCATTTTCTTTTGGCAAATTTTGTAACAGAGATAACTTACTAACTTTCAGTGGCTTTAATGTTAAAGTATTACTTTTTGTTATTTTATAAAAACAGGAGTGCTTCCAAGATTTGGGAGGCAACTTTGGAATGCCGTACATTACTAAAAATTACCATTATTATGGAAACATTAATCCTATTGCCCAAAGACGGCTGGTATCTTTTCTTGTGTCATTTTTGCCATCTTTGAACGAAAAAACAGTCTGGGGTTTATTCTGTAGCATCCGTGAAAAGATTGGGGCTCAACAAATCACCCCAAATCGGGCGGGGCATCCACGTTTTCTTAAGCTTGCTTTTCTCTTTATGGGTACAGAAATCCCAGACACATCCCTAGATTCTGAGAAATGTTTCATTTGTCTAAATTTCAAATGACGGACTGGGAAATTAAAACATGGCAAAAATGAGACTTTTTAAAAAAATATATTTTATTGATTTTTTACAGAGAGGAAGGGAGAGAGAGAGAGAGTCAGAAACATCGATGAGAGGGAAACATCGATTAGCTGCTTCCTGCACATCTCCCACTGGGGATGTGCCCGCAACCCAGGTACATGCCCTTGACCGGAATCGAA